AGGTTATTTAGGAACTAGTATGATAGATACTTTTTCTTCAACACCTACTGCAACATAATTTCATTTTTCTGACAAGCAAACGATAATAGCTCGATAAAAGAGAGACCAACACCATCTATTATAAGGAGTATATTGTTCTCTCTCAGAGCACATTATAAATAAATGTTAAGACTTTCTAACTCAAAAGTAAAATATAGGAATATGCATGCATGCATGCATTCATTGCATTGAATAAAACATACGGACCTTCTTACCGTTGATGGGAAAAGGAGATATGCATGATCTTGACAAAGAGAAATAAAGGGATATACACGTGATTTTTGTAAAGACAAGTAGGAATTGCACCAAATGGGCTTTTCACGATTTTAAGAGAGGTAGTGAGGTACTATACTATGGATACTTTTAGGGCCTCTGGTCTAAAATTGCATTAGGATAGGTGCACAAAGGATTTAGTACAAGGGGGGTTCTTATCATGTATTTCTTTCTAAAACATGGACGATGCAAAGCATTTCGGTTGATGTTCTTGGCCCTACAGAGGAGAAGGTTCATGCACAGGGAGAGGTGTACAATCCCCCCAAGAAGAACATTGTAGGATCTAGAATTGATAAAGATAATGACGCTTTCCCGAGTTGCAGTATGAGGATATCGCAATGGGTCTTAATGAAGAGCTCTCAAAAGTGTATGAAGCTATTAAAGCTAAGAAACAAGCATAGAAAAAAAACAGAGAAATTATCCCAGATATACTTTAATTTAAGTTTAATTGAAAAAAAATCCTAAACTTTCGTTTATCTCGTCTACACTTTTTTTTTTTTTTTTACCAAAATAGCATTCACTGTAGTTATGTTACTTATACTGACCGGCGTTTTAAGTACCGTAAACACTAACATATGTTATACAGTAAATTTTTTTTATATTTATCTATTTCATCTCTAATTTCTTTTATGTTGATCTATTCTTTCTCTCTATTTATATTTATCTATTTCATCTCTATTTGTTTTTCATATTTATTTCTTTTTCCTCTCTCCCATTCTTTTCTATCTCTTCTTTCTCTCTCTATAATCTTACTCTAAGTGCCAATTTGGACACAGTCAAATATCCCAGTTAGGGAGAGAAAAGATTTAGAAAGAGAAAGAAGAGAAATATTAAAAAGAATGAGAGAGAGAAATAAGAGATAAACATAAAAAAAAAAAATAGAGAGGAATTAGATAAACATAATAAGGAAAAAGGGTTTTACGGCATTTTAAGCACCGTATAACATGGGTTAGTTTTTATGGTACTTAAAATGCAGTAAAATTGGTTTTAGTTTTTACGGTACTTAAAGTACCGTAATTGGTTTCACGGTCATAGCCATAGTTTTACGGTACTTAAAGTACCGTAATGCTAATTGAAGTTACTACGTCATTTTAAATACCGTATAAAATGATACCTATTAAATTATTACAGTATTTTAATTACCGTAATACTCATTCAACTTATTATAGTATTTAAATTACCATAATGTTCTTTACGGTATAAAGATTACCGTGAAAGTTATTTTTGTCCAAAAAAAACAAAAAATTGTGAGAAATGGTGTAGGTGAGGTTTTGAAAAATTAAGGGTTTGTTTCCGATTATAGTAAAATATAAGTATATTAACGATAATTTTCCAAAAAAAAAAAACGAACCTCTGTCAAAGGTGTATCAAGCTATCAAGGCTAAGATTAAGGTAGAGAAGGATGAGGATTCAGAGAAGGGAGATAAATTTTTTAAAGAGGATTGTATAGCCCTTTAGGAAAGGACCCCGTTAAAGAGAAAAATGGCTCAAGATGCAAAAGATTGTCTTCAATGCTGGGCTTCTACACGGGCTCCCCAAAAGCCTCGAACGGGTGGAGGTATCATAATCATCAGTGATTGATAGTGATTAATATTATACCTTGCCATGCGGTTAGGCTTCCTTATTTCTTAGAGATCATTGGTGTATTTGAAGTTTGAATGTCTGAGGTTTGGGGTGTTTTGGAGTAATGGGTGCTAGTGTCTCCAGTGTCCTATGAGGTTATGATATGTGGGATCCCTCCTTTTTTTTAGTAGCATTTGTAGTGTTATGAGGGACAATGGATTCTTCTCCTATCTCTTAACTAAGATGTTTTCAATAACCTTGACATTTAACTTTTATGTTGCTACTGCAAATTTTTGTACCATTCTCTTCCATCTGTTGTTTTTGTGCTCTTTAATATATTTTTGTTCCGCAAAATTTTGGAATATGTTTGATAACATCTATATGTTCGATTCGAGCACAATGCAAAAACGCATACATCTAATCTTCAAAAATAAACACGAACATCCATTGGGATTTCAGCCCATTTCTTTTTCATATCTTAGATTAACCATCAAAAGCAAGTAGTTACAAATGCATTTATGTCCAACAGAGGATTACTCATTCACCCATAAACCACATTCAGAGACGTCAAACTTATTGGGAAATGATTTCCTGGCAACAGAAATTAAAAAAGGCCTAGAATAATAATGCCTTAAGGAGGGGTGGTATATCTAGTGATAAGAAGCTATGGAGATCATCTTCCTCTAAATCATCGGCTGCTAAGGAAATTAAATCAATATGAATTAAAGTTTCAAAGATTCATGGGCCTATGTCTAATGATAATCAAGGTGGACTTGGATTATTTTTATTTTATTTTATTTTTATTTATTTTTTATTTTTTATTTATTATTTATTTTTATTTTTTATGAACAGGAAAACTAAGAGCTAAGACTCCGCCTAGGCCACTCGAAATCGGCCGAGTAACTCGGCCTCACCCTATCAGCAAAGCGAGTTTTGGAGAAGATCATACAATATATTTGCAAAGTTTAATTGAATTAATTCTACAAATTTTAGTCTATGTTTGAATGGCTCTGCAATCAGACTTCACGAACATGTTGCCCCAGGGTTGGGTTCAATTCTCCCCAAAGACCATTACTTTTTGAAAGTTGCCATAGTTTTTAACAATGTTATAAGATACGTCTCAACCAAGGTACTCGGATTTTGGCCGAGTTTGAGTAACTCACCTGAGTTGTGTTCACTTAAAATAAAAAATAAAAAATAAAAAAAGACAAAAACAAGATAAATAGATGATAAATATAATAACAGGCATTTAGTGCAAGCCTCCAAGTGGCATATTGTTTTTCTCATTCCGCTTTTTCAATGAGCATGTGGTTCAATTCTCACGAGCACTATTCATTTTGGTTTTGTTTAGTGTACATAAGTATAAGATTCTTAACCTTTGCAACTTTAACTTAGAATGTTAGATATCTTGGTGTTTTTTAACGTACAAAAAGTATAACATCCTTCCTTAACCTTTCCAATTTGAACTTAAAATGTTGGATATCATATTGGTTGGGTTACCATTAACAAATGTACCGTGTGATATAACATAAAAATGACAATTAATATATAGTTTTCAAGTCTCCTCACCGTAAAAGGACACATATATACTATCCAACATGCTATCCACACATTCTTACGTGGAATGAGTACTTATTTTTTGGTTTGGCCATGAGTACTTATTTATACATTATCCTATTTAAAAAAAAAAATCAAAAATACCCCAAGTCACATACTAATTTTTTAAAAACTATTTTTCCACTATTTTTTTTAATTGTTTTCAGTGGACTGAGTTATTCGGACTCGGGTGAGTACTCGGCATGGCCTGAGTAGTCAGCCCGATTGGGCTCTTCAAACACGGGTTCTTCTAGAGCCTGAAAAACCTTAGCGCTTAATCGTTCCTCACTTCCTCGTCTCCTTACTCAAAAATCACAATTACTCAAAAACCTTTTTTTGAAACGTACGAAATAATCAATACCTTGATGGATGCAGCCATTCCATGATCAAAAAATGGGCAGTAGAATGCGTGATCCAAGGATATATAAAACTGCATTATAAATGGTGTAGCTAAAATTGTAGTTGGGAAACGTGTTCCCGAAAATTGGAATCTCGATTTCAATCGCTGAGGGCCTCAACTTAGGCGGCGAGATAAGATGGCTCCTTTGGTATTAAAAACGTGAACCCAATGGGATCTGGATTTCATAAATGGCGATTCTTGTGTTTTGTTATTTTGGAATCAAGATCTTAATGCATTATGGAGCGCGAATCGTATGATGGGAAACGAGAACCTATGATATTCAGGAGGGCGATATCAAAATGTGAGGAACTCGATCCCGTATAACATAGAGCGAGATCTCGATCCCGTATAACATAGAGCGAGATATTGGAAAAATTAACTTAAGTTCCAAACGCTGCTCTAGGATCGAGAGAAGCGAGATTCTGGAGGTGATCCCCTCTGGCCTGGCGATCCTGATAGCTATGGTTTTTATAGTTTATTTTAAGATGTATTATTTTTAGAACTTAAAATTCTTTTTTCTTTTTTACTTATATTCACAAGTCTTAAAAATCAAGATGATCTCAATTACAGTCTTCTAGCTTGAAATACTCTTTTCTGCTAGATCTTAAAATCAAGATGATCCGAATGACAATCACTTTACTTCTATAGCATAAGTTTCCACCTTTTATAAATTTTTTCCAAAAAAAAACTTAAATCAATTATAAATAATAAAGAAAATATATAATGAAACCATTTACCTTTGATACACGATGGTCAAAATTAATGTTGACCGATGTAAAATTGGATGGCTGCATTTATTTCATTGACCAAATTCAAAGTTCAAAAAAATATTTTTCGAACTTTGTAACACATCCAAAATATCTGATTTCACATTATATGGTTAAATAATTGTGACCTTCTTGAACCAAAAAGTAAATAGTTTCATTGTAAAGAATGAGTTTATCTTTAGAGTTCTTTTTCTAGTTTTAACTAAACTTTCACGAGTTGCTATGGACCTCTTACTTATGCCCCACCGCACGAGCACATTTAAACGACGACGTTATTGTCCTTTCGTGTTCCCTCCCTATCCTAACCTGTATCTGCAGTTTGATCTTTTATCATTTGGATATCAGATATTGATCATCATTTTGATATCTATCAGAAATTTCTACTGTTACATTCCAAAATCCAGATTTCCAATTCATCTACAAACCCCCAAATGGGGGAAGTGAGTCCGAATTAGATGGCCTGGGTAGAATATTCGTACAACATACAGAAACTTTACTCATTCAGAAATTTACTTGTACAGAAACCGTTAAGGATACCTTGCTGGATAATTGGAGGGGCTCGAAATATACAGCGACCTATCAAAAAGCTGCCGATGCCCCCACGTATTTTCTCTAGGCATAAAGAGAGACTAATGTGGAATTGTAGTTTCCTCACTCATTGAAACTTCTCCTGTTCACAAAGCTGCCCCTCCGCATAGTGAAGAAGCCTCCTCAGCCTCAGCAATATGTCGCAATGGAATGGCAGAGCAGTGCGTCTCTCTAGATATGATGGGCTAACCGTCATCCATGAGAGAGCATGTAATTCTGCTGCCACACCCTCTAAAATCTGATGAGCATCTAACCCACTGTTCTCTGAACTTGGAATTCTGCACTGCTTAACTCCACCACCCTTACCTGATGATGACACTTCCTGGGCATTAATATTGCTGGAGGCACCACCACCATAGTAATCAACTAAACTGACAGAAAGGATCGAAGGCCATTCATCCTTGACATTTCTCATGAAATCCTTCCTGATTGTGGGCACTGCCCTTGATAGCACAAACCCAGTTGTGAGAGGAATGGCCAAACCTTTGCTGTGTAAGAGATGAGCAAGAGGCGGGGACTCGGCTGTGAGCCCCACCGGGAGCTGCAAAGGCATGGGAGGGAGAAAACGCATACTCGGATTTGGTATGACCATGTAAGATGCTGCAGTTGAACCAAGAGATTTGACTGAACTGAACCCTTCCCAGTAGCTTGGCGGTCCTCCAACACCTTGACTTCCTACCCCTGCACAAAATCCAAAAATTCAAATTTCTGTTGAAGAAAAGAAAAATTTCAGAATCAGATTAAATGCTATCAACAAGAGCAATAATATTTGCACAATAAGTAACAAAAACCCAATTGATTTAAATCATAAAGACAGTTTGCCTTGCACAAACTGAATATGAAAATTACCAGTAGGAGAGGCACCCATCTCTACAGGGCATATCAACTGCAGGGTATGGTCGACGGAGACTGCTACGAAGCTGATACTCTGCACCCACTGGAAAACTCCTCTTGGGGCATCTCCCACAAGCTGTCCTGGCAACATCTGCTTTCTTGTATTTGTTTGTGTTAGTCCACCCTTCAAAAAGCTGGATGATTTTGAATGAGAGCCATAAAGAGAAGGGTTTGGTTGAGAAGGCATGGCTCTATCCTGCATCAAGCTTATCTCCTGCTGCTGTAGGGAGTTTCCATTACCAGATGCTGACTCTGGAACAGATCGCCTCAGTTGCAAGGGCCATTTCTTAACTTCATTTCCCCCAACCGCATAAATAGCCTTCTGCCATTCTGAAACAGCAATACGAAAGTCACTTGTTAGTTATAGGGGAATCTCAACATTGTGGAAAAGCTTCAAGCATAATACTATCAAAGAAATTTTAAGCATCAACAAGTGAGTGGACAAACCATGAATATAATACCTTGGCACTCCAGCTCAAAGAAGCTGCCAATGCGCGAGATTACAATATCCCTAGGCTTGACAATAGCTGCATCGGTAGCAAAGGATGACAACATCTGACAACCCTGCTGAAGAACTTGTACAAAGAGACACTGGAGACCTTTTGTGTCTTGACGACCACTAATACCCCCAAATGGAAAAATATGGCTGTCTAACAACTCTCCCCTTGAATCTGTCCATATGCAGACTAGCCAACGCCAATCCTCAGTCCACCCATAGCAGCAATGAAGGCTCACCACCTTTTGACTGCAAGATCCAACCACACCATCGCTTTCTGATACGTCAATGATGGGGGTTCCAGCCATAGTATCTGCAGAGCCACCCAGGTTGTTACATACTCCACTGGTCTCATCATATCTAGATGGTTCTGAAGCAGTAAGTGACACCCCCTGCTCCAAGGAGCCAGGATCTGCCAATATGAATAGTGGTTCAAATAAGTATCGCAATTCGTCCTGAGAAAGAACGTCTCCTGAAGCACTAAAATCACAAAGAGATTCTCCAGGCCTCATTGCTTGCCACGAGCTATCCCAACTGAGTGGGCCATCTCTTTGAAGAGCGGTTCCTGTATTTCGAGACGTCACTGTATCCTTCCAAAGGCCAGGAACAGGTGAACCCACATGGGTCAATGTTGATCGAAGCCTGCCACCCAAAAGTATTGACAATGGTGCTGCTTCAGTTGGGTTAATACAGCGGGGAACTCTTCGAGCCTTGTTGTATACAGTGAAGGCTATCTCCTTCAAGACAACCAACTCAGTAAGTGGTGGCCTAGTTATCCTGAGGATTGTTTCTGCTGTCACAATCTGCAAGACCAACTTAGGAATACTGAATCCTGAAAGGGTTAGAACATTGGAAATTGATGTTTCGTCTACATTGGAAGACCAGCTCAGAGCCTTCGCAAGTTGACTGTGCAACAGTGATCTCTTCTCTTTGTCATATGCAAAAATGGTTGACCCCAGAGCTCTGGAAGACTCAACTACAGTCTGAAGAACAGCATCAGGGTCGAGGAAGGGACAAACAACATAGATCACCTGGATATTCAAAGGTAAATTAAATGGCATGTTTTGATATGATATTGGAGCAGCACAAGAAGCATAAAATAGTTCACTTAGGAGGAAGTATATAACCAACGACTTGGGAGGTCACACCTTGCTACCTATCTTCATTTTTTTTAAAGTAAAATATGAAGGGGTAAACTGATTACATCAAGCTGCTCCAATTGGAACAACCTACAAGGTGGAACTTCCTAGTATCATTACCACCTCGCCGTAAAAATTGTCCTCGGAAGTTTTTCGAATCATAACTGGAACATGGCGTGATGCAGTCATTATCCAAGGATGAAAACTTTTCACTTGTGTGTTCTCATTGTTATGCTTCAAGTTGCAATTTGACGATCTCAGTTATCTACGAAGGCTATTTCTAGGGTTTTTCATAAGTTTTCTGTTTTTTGCCCTCAAATCTTAGTTTAAACTACAGGCCTAAAAATAGTGACGAATTGTACGAATAATTAGAGTTTTGCATTTGGTATTTAAGGAATTATTAGGGGTATTTTAGAGTCTTACAGTATGTTTATAAAAGACTATAATTTGTTCACTGCCAAGGGGGGATCGGAAATTTTATTGAAATTGTAATGGAACGCCATGATGCATGATTAATAGTTGTTGCACTTTCCCTCGTTTTGAGATTTTCACAACTTTCTTTGATTTTCGCTATAGCAAAGTGGTATCCGAGCTGACTTGATCGCGCCTGATTATAGCCCCAATAGCTGCAGAAGTTCCTTGGGACCCGAGGTGTGCAATGGATGGCAGGGTTGACTCAAAGGTTGGATCAATTGATGGATATAGTAATCCATCGATTGGCAACCTTGAAAACATGTTGAGAAAGTAGGAGCTGCATGAGATTCGCGTTAACTACCCTACAAGTTATGAATATTATCCAGAAGCTTCTGAAAAGAATCCATTTGCAGCTGTGTTTTTTCCGGATAGCAAGATTGAATTACCACTTATTTACATAATTGGTTAGCCTATATATAATGGGGATCCAAAAGAAGAAAATGTGATCAAATAGGAATGTGATGGAAAACTATTTTTTATTGCAAGGACTCTAAAAGATTTTAAATTTCAAAGTTTCGTAGTGAACGCGAAGACCCTATTCTAGAAGGATTTTTTAATGAATTTCAACTATTATTTGGGAACGATTTTGTTCAATCCCATAAACATCAAAAATACATTATCATATGGAGATCCAATGAGGGTAAACTAAAGTTGATGGGGAGAGCACACCAACTACCAAAAGTGAAGTCAAAAGTACAAAGTACATAGAACATCGATAAAAAAAACGAGGGATCTCATAATGAACTCGAGGACAAGTTCTTTCGAGAAGGGGAGAATGACGCAGTCATTATCCGAGGATCACTTCTCACTCGTGTGTCCTTTTTTGGTGCTTCTAGTTGCAATTTGAAGATCTCTCAGTTATCTATAGAGGCTATTTCAAGGGTTTTTTACATAAATTTTCAATTTTTACCCTCAAATCTTATTGTAACATACATGCCTAAAAATAGTGACAAATTTTAGCCCTAATTAGCACTTTTTTTTTTTTTTTGGGGGGGGAGGGGGGGGGGGTATTTATTGTTGGGGTATTTTAGAGTCTTAAATAGTTTACTTGGATTTCAAGTTAATTTTAGGGGCTAATATGCTTATAAATAGACTATTATGTGCTCATTGTGAAAGAGGATAGAAAATTCATTGAAATTATGACAGAAATTTTGAGCACTAGAGCTATGATGCTCGATTAAAGATTGTGGTCCTTCCTCGATTCTCGTTGCATCACGGTGCTCGGAGGGGAGATATGTAGGGATGGCGCTAAGTGTTGCCTTTACTAGTGTAAACTCACTAGCCATACAGAGGAACTGGAACACTGCAACTTCACTAGCCATACAGAGGAACTGACCCTTGCACAGTGCCAATGATCTCTCCATGCCTTCTGTTTAGTCCCAAGTTCCTCTGTCGCTTCACCTTGTTCAAAGGCAGATTAAGGTATTTGATTAGGATAGAATCCACCCTAAATCCCTGCAGACCCAAAAATTGTATCAAGCTTGATTCAGGTGTGCCAGTTCCAAGAAAAGAATTGTCGTTCATGTCAACCCTCTGCCTTACTACAATTCTCAAATATGCAGATCAGAAGCCATAAGTTCTCCACTTGCTTGGCTGTTGCATCATGAAAAATAATCATATTTGTCTGTGTGCTATAGAACGGTATTGAGCCATCAGGACACACAAAAACTCTCAAAAGTTATTAAAGGCAGCCCTCAACAAAGTCAGCTTAAAACTTCAGCGACAATTGTGAACAGAAAAGGAGACATAACGTCACACCTCTCTTCAACCCCTAGAACTTTTGAAACAAACCTTTAGTAGATCCATTGATGAAAATGGAGAACATTGTTGAGAATAAATACTCCTTAGTACCATTATTCCATCGTGGACCAAACCCATCAGCTCCATAAGCAACAATAGAACCTTCCAATCCAAATAATTACAAGTTTTCTCCATGTTCAACTTGATTATTGACCCTGGCTTGTTTATTTAAACCTGGGATCGAAGCATTCATTGGCTATAAGGACACCATCCAAAATCTGACGCCCTCTGAGCTGACGAGCTAATATCACCCAAGTTTGATCCTGACCAAGACACAATGATGTTGCTCAGAATTTTGTAAGCTCAATCCAGAGAGGTAACTCTGCAAAAATCTCTAATGTCTTCAGTCCCCTCAAGTTAGGGGTTTGGATTTGTGAAATTTACATTGATAACTTCATTTATCCTTCTCTGGACGAGGGCTGTGACCATATCACATATAGTTTTTACCTTTAGAGAAAGTCACATATATTAAGCCTCATTACTTCCCAATTGTCTTGAACAAAGGCTATATTCTACCTAAGGTAGGGGACAGCCTCGAGTATCTCCTCTTCAAATGGCTATTGGTTCAATGGGCATTTTCTTCTATGGATCATTTCCGGATTGGGCTCATTCTATATACATATAGGGTGATATTTTGTCAAAACCATAGTTACCGGAATCTCTCCACCGACCTCACATTTCCAGTTCCGAAATCCGATTCCGCATTTCCGTTTAAGGGAATCTCCACAGAAACCGTTTTTCAGAATCTTGATTCAACACATCTTTAGAAACCATTTTTTGGAACCAAGGAAACTCGATCCCTTAATTTCAGAATCTTGATTCAACACATCTTTAGAAACCATTTATCAAAACCAAGGAAACTCGATTCCTTAATTTCGGAATCTCAATCCTACACATCTTTAGAAACTTGAACCCATTCATTGTTGGTAGACGTTCCCAGATATATCGAATCTGGATTCCAGCAAGGATTAAATCTTGATTCCACGTCAATTGGAGTACAAATCTTCCTTTGAATGCGTCTAGTGGTTACGTGGTTTCATTATTTTACTTGTGCCACCCTGAACGGCCTTTACTTTAAATTTAAAATATAACTCGTAAATACAACACATACAATTAAAAGTAAAACCATGGGGTATACATAATCCTATTTTGCCTTTATAATAATGAAGTCAAAATCACAATTTAGAAATACTTGTCTTTTGTATATAATGACCGTAAGTTCAATAGTCAACACAATTACTTTAAAATTTGAGAAACCTTCTAATAAGATACATCCAATATAGGTTCTAAAGTTGACAAGGATCAATATGTGCTTGTGGCTTCCTTCTCCATAAAAATGAAATCTTAATTCCTGGTTGGGGTCGTCAAACGCATTCCATAGTCCATATTATTGCAAATCCCCATCTCAAACTGGAATGTATCTCTGATACATATACTTCAAAAACTTGATTTCAAATATGTTAGAATCACAATTCGAAACAGCAATATATATCTATGTTCCACATATATCAGAAACTCGATTCCATAGATGTCGGAAACTCGATTTCACATATTAATAAATCTTGACTCCTAGAGTGTCAGTTTCAGGGGAATGGAATCTCGATTCCAAGGAGGATGGAATCTCGATTCCATATGTGGATAAAACTTGGATCTATTTCGATCGAAACACGATTCTCAAAAGCTAGGAATCTTGTTCCTAGTTATTCGTATTGTACGGACAACGATTCCTAAGACAGGAATCTTCTAGCTGGTCGCGATTCAGTGATTCCAGTTCCTAAGATGATTCGGGTTCCCAAGCATTTCCAACATTTTGACCCTTTGGTACCTGGTTTCCAGCACCCATCCTTTTGATATAAGTTTTCAAGGAACTGCACAATGGCACTGCTAACTTCGAGTTCTCTCCATTCCCTTGGCTTTGACCACAATGCTAGTAATTTAATTAAATTACTAGTTCCTTTTCTCACATTTGCTATTCTATGAAAAAAAATCCATGTTCTTATCACCATCTCTGAGCCATTTGATTCTAAACCTCTTGTCACCTCTTTATTTCTTCAATTAGAACTATTCCTTGAAAACTTCATCTTGAGGGAAGCTCTAGAGACCCTTTCCGTCAACAATAAGGGGTAGGACTCCTCTCTACAAGTAAGTTCCTGGATCTACGACAAAATTTGAATTTTCTGTTCTGTCACGCTCCCAAATTTCTCCAAATGAGCAAGCCTATATCTTGTTGATCCAAAACTCTTCACCGCTCCTTGACCATCTCCTGAAAACTTGGAGCTCCATTCACATAAATTCAAATCTCAATGGAATTGGTCCTCTTCTCCCTACATCTGTATCAAGCATAATGGTGCAATGATCTGAAGCCAGCCTAGTGAGGCAATTTTGATTCACTCCAGGAAATTTGCCTTCCCAATCCCATGTGATTAGGAATCAGTCCATCCTCGTAAGCACCAGGCCGGTCCTATTGTTGGTCTATGTAAAATGTTTTCCCCCCATGACCTACGATCTAGCCACATTGTGATTATTTTGCTTCCTACTTTCTTCTCAAAAGAGGGTTGGATGACATTGAAATATCCCCTGACACACCAGGCAAATTCCAACTGAATCAGATCTCATCAAGCTCTTTCCAAAAACTCGATCCTTGGGTTGTTTGGGCCATATAAAACAGTTTGCACCCATTTGAACCTTCAATTGATTGCAACGGTACAGAGATAGAGTAGAGTCCAGAGACTGCATCAGCTTTCTTTATGAATTTTCTCCCATTGCATATCAATATGATTCCTGCTGAGGTGCCAACAGTAGGAAGTTCACGGATTTGACCACAAAAATGTCATGCCAGATAAATCATTTCTTTCTTGGCAATCCAATGTTCATGGATTCCACTACATAAATTTTGGGGTTGGGGGAGAAGGTGGCCTTAGAAGGCCAACAGGGTGCTCTTGGTACTCTATTACCCAAAGTAACTCAACAAACCACAAATATGGTGAAGGAAACTATATAATACTTCCATCGCTTGATGTTACAAATCCACCTCCTGGGTATCTAACTACACAATGATATGTGTAAGATCTCACTACTCTTGCTCATGTAACAGATAAAAGCATTGCATGTACAGGTTAGAATTGAATGTAAGCATATAATAAAAGAGTGAGCATGCCAATCTTACATGAGACTTGCAAAAGCTCAACAAATTTGAAAGACTTCTTTATGAATTATTTAGTGAACCTCTTAAATTATAGTTTTCTACATCCTCTTGACAGGTCTTCATCAAGAAAGACAATTGCAAAATGACATATTTAGGCAGCATATCAAAGCTTATTCTCTACATCTAGTGAGGCTATCCGACTGTTGCCTCCATTCTAATTCAGGGTTCACTGTTTCCAACATCACGTACTTTAAGCACACAACAAGGGCAGTATCGTGACTGCATCTAATCTGGTCTTTCATGACAAGAATCACAATGAATTAAATAGCTAATCTCTTTATATTACGTGGGTAGGTTATTTCACCCTACATCTCCACCAGAAAAGCTTTTATGTATTGGGGGAAGTCCAACAGGAAACCCTTTTTACTTATTTCTGTATATCAAAATGCAATGGGATTCATCATATTGCATAAAAGAACCAACGCAGTTATTAACATGCTTAAAGGAAACTGCCACATTCTAACATACAACCATGTAGAGGAATGGAATTTATTAAATACTTATGTGCTGTTAAAAAAGGCATCACTTTGGATCATACTAGCAGAAGCACTGCTATCCACTTAAATACTAAGCGTGGCACCTCAAACTGTATGATTAATTAGATATAGTACACTTACCATACATGTACCACCTAAAACTTCTTTTTGATTCGCAGACAAATTTGACGAGAGTCGAAGGGTCCTGAGCACCTTCGAAAGAGATTTGCAATAGCTGCTTGCGTTCCAGCCTTCACTTAAGGCAAGAACAAAGTCACTAATTGAGCCCATGGAGGAAAATGTGCTTCCAGGCTTTTCAGTTGATTGGGGGACATCTAAAAGAACAAAACCAGAAGATGACCACTTCTCTGAGGATAGTCCGATCTGATTTCCAACAATTTGGGGTGCATGCGTCCCCAATTTGCAAGTCTCATATACTGGCAAGACAAAAAAACATTTCAGCATTGATGCACAAATGTCGCATTCAAAACTATATATAAATGACAGAGGAGATGATGGATTTCAAATACTTTTAAAAAGTAAATGTTGAAGCATATGAAAAACCAAATAGCACTTCAACCAAGAATTGATACGGAAAAACATTGGAATATTCACTGCATACCAACAAATTCAGGAAACGAAAAAATTAAAGTCTAGTGTATTGGGATTTCAACCTAACAGAACGGAATGTGGAGGTTCCCCAAGATTTAACATTCGGAAAACAAATAAATTTCTGTACAACAGGACCCACAATAGTGGACATGATTTATAAATTTGATGCATCATGAGAACAATTCTCAGAAATATTAGTCTCTCTCATTCTATCATGTCAAAGGCAAACCACTTTGCCTAGGCCCCAACCTATGAGAAATAATAAATAGAACTTTTTCAACCATTTAGGCTGCTAAAACAAAGAGGTCATGTTTCAGCCAAAGAGATTGAACAAAGAGTACCGCATTAATCTAAACCCTTGGCTGTCCCATTTCTTCCACAACGTCTATTTTGAGGTATGTTGTTTACCACAATTTCTCAATTGACTCAATATGTAGCGGGCTTTGTAGTCAGTGAAGAAAGTTCTTTGGTTTATTGACATGCATATTTACAGATTAGCAAAATTTCAAAGGAAAAAAAACAACCTTATCTAAATCATTTATCACATTATTTTCAAGTGTTATCGCATTATTTTCAATTATAAAACCTATGACAGTTTTTATATTTGGTCTAGAAATTATCCAATGCTTGATTAATTTTTTCTTTGTTATTTAGTAACTTGACTAACTTCCCTTACTTAATTTTTCATATTCCTAAACATTTTCAGAAAAACTGAATTGTTTCTGTAAAACAACAAATCAGAACCATTCATAGCCAAACTGAAACATCTTTCACACTAGGATAAAACTTCCTATAGTGCTACTTACACCCTTTAATTTGGAGATTTATTTTTATGATAGTGATGTAGGAAATTTGAGAGAACGGTAAAATCAATAAGAAATAAAGCCAAACACAAGCACATTTCAGACAAACCTAAGGTTTTTTCTCCACACTCAAGCTAGTGTTGCAAAAGTCATTCCGGAAAACCACGCGACCTCTTTATAATATTATTTAATGATCCAAGTACAAAAAATGTCCAAACAAATAATACATTGACCCATACATCCTAACTTAAACTTAACATTTGTAATGACAGTTTGACCCCTGTAAACAGTATCCATGAACAGTACCTGTGAATAGTACGTATGAAGTAAATAAAAAATATAAAATCCTCATAATCCCTAAAAAACTAAAAAACTCTAGAAACAAACCCAAAAACCAAAATTACAATATATATCCTTTGAAATTGAATAAAAATTAAATATAAGAATAATTTTGCCCTCCATCATTCTCCCCTACTTGGAGAAAACTCGTCCTCAAGTTTGAAGTGTGCTAAGATAAATTCAATATCAAAACCACCTTCTTCAACCTTCTTCTTTGTCGGCTCAAATATTATTTGTGGTAAAAAGAATTCCACAAGAAATAGATCCTCATATATATATTGAGGAATCGATGGAAATTTATCAAATTCAGTTATTCTTAAACTCCCATTGAAAATCATATAAGATATTCCAAACTCAATTTTCTAGTCTTTAGAGGCTTTCTCGGCATTTATTTCATTACTCCCAGAATCTAGGGCCACAATTTATAGATTCTGAATAGACCATGCTTCATTGCACTACTCTGATTCCAATGCCCTAAATCTCCTAAATGTTCCACCTCTTTGAAATCCTTAATATCTTCATCTTTTTCTTCATCAAAGATCAATTTAACAACAAAATATTGATCATTGTCGTACATTGGATCTACTAAGTGATCATGTTGTTCATTAGAGTATATATTGAAGAGTGGTGGCCAAATCCAATCTACAGTTCGCTGATTTTCAAGACAACCTGCGTCAAAATCAATAATATCCTCATTTAAATAAAAAACCCTAGAGTGATGTCCATCACAACTAGGTCTTTCGTCGCTTTGCTCTTCGCTTGACTCTTCACGCGGAGCATGGAGGTGAACAGGGTTGCACTCGACATCTTCTTGGGCGGAAAGATCACCCACCGTCTTTCCCATGAATGATGCTCGCAAACTGCAACATCAGCTGCTGAACTTGCCTTTTCAGCTCCCCAATTTCTTCATCTCTAGGATCACAAAATGGATATATGAAAACCAGCGACAGCTCCTTCTTGCTGCCATAGATTCGCCCAAATTACAAAATTTTAAGCATAGAATCAAGAAAACCTCGGTGAAATCGGAAAGTTCTAAGCTGATTTGGAAAACATTAGCCCAAAATCAACAAACCCTAGACTTGTCTGCACTTTCCTGGATTTGTTGTTGAAATAACCTTGAGCTCTGATACCAAATTGATGCAAGGAAAAATTGAAGGAAACTGTAAAATCAGCAAGAAACAAAGCCAAACACAAACACAATTCAAACAAACCTAATGTTTCTTCTCCACACCGAGGCTAGGGTTGCAAAAGCCTGAGCTTTACTCTTCTCAATTTTGGAAAAGCACATGATTGCCTTCTAATAAGCCACCACACACCTATTTATAATATTATTTGATGTTCCAAGTACAAAAAGTGTCCAAACCAATAATACATTAACCCATATATCCTAACTTAAATTTAAAATTTGTATTGACAGTTTTACCTTTGTGAACAGTACCCATGAATAGTACTCATGAAGTAAATAGAAAATATAAAAATCTTAGAATCCCTAAAAAACTAAAAAACCCTGTAAACAGGGTTGCCTCCATCAGATAGCATATATCCCAGAGTGTTTGAGGTGGTCAAGACATATTGTACACAGCATGAAAGGGGGAAACCCAAAAACTTGAGTCCATGGTCACAAAAGTATTCACTCATATAACCATTAGAAAAAAAAACAAGCACTATCATAACTCTTGGAATATTATTAACAATAAACTTTTAAGTTAAGAGAAGAAAATTACATTTGAAAGTGACTTTTAAAGAAACTAATATGGGAATTTTTCGATTTTTAAAATGATGAATGGCAAATATACCACGAATAACAATCAATAAAATAGACAAATATCCTAGAATAAAATAAAACTACAAGAACTGCAGTGACTCATTGAAACGCTCTATATGATTACATCTCAGGTTCAGGAAAGTACATCTCGATAAATATAAATTCTAATGGAACCAAAGACATATGAAATAAGACAACTCATACATACCAGTTCCCAGTTGCTGGAAAAAGTCAGCAGCAGCAGTAGTCAGCGGGTCAATGTCTGGACATACAACGTAATAAGTCATCTGTAACAGGTAGGTCAAGTAAGACCAACAATTACCATTGAATACAATGTGGAATGGAATACCAAATAGTATATGCTGATGAGGTTGGAAGAATAAATAGTATATAATGAAGAGGTTCTGGGTCTCACAGGTTTGGGAAGAGCATATGGTTCTAGGGGAGCCTTCTCAAATAACTGTATGGCATTTGCAGATGTCTTGAGCCAATCGTCCTGATATCTATGACATCAATTATTAAATGAGTCTGAACATGCATAAGATACCGAAGGCTATTAAGGAAATAAGAGGTTCAAGGGTGTAATAACATGTTCATTAAGGAAATAAGAGTTTCAATGGTGTAATAACAATATTTTCATCAATGGCTTCTTACCCAACAAGTATTGAAGGAACTGAGAGTGCCATAACTGTTGATTTACTACGAGGGGGCATCATTTGTTGTTCGGAATCTGAAATAGAACTTGCATGATTAGATTGCTTATGAAGATAATCTAAACTTATTCCATCCATAAATATGGAAATTCAGAATTATCTATCTTCTGCCAGTGCGTAATCCATTGAATACCAAGTACCCGATTATTTTCATACTTTCATACTAATGCACACCTTTAATGCCCGCAGAAGATTGGGGTGGAGTAATTGGCTCTCCAATGCCAAGAGTTACAGTGCTTGAAGATTCCTTTGCATCATTTATCATCGATTCAACAGTACAACCATCGCTAGACATGCTCCCTCCTTCAATTGACTGAAAGCGACCTTTGCACCAATCATTGATTGGCAATGGACCGTCCAGATTTCTTTCACCAAATGCAGACTTTAGGGCTATTTTTAAATCGGACTGAAGCAAACTAATCACGGAAGACGAATGAACCTGTTACAATTGACATTAAGAATGAAGTTTACAAATATTAAATGAACATGTAAAATCCAGTAGTAATTACTATGGATGAACCAGGCGAGCATAGAGATTAAATACACAAATAATAGTGTATTTCAGAATAACTGATCTCACTTGTATCTGAAATGGTGAATTGTCCCCAAAAAAAAAAAAAATTAAGAAAGGAATACCATTGCATTGACATGGTAAATGAACCACACTGACGGAGTACTTTTAGCCTACTTTGTTCAATCTGAATAACCTCTTAACCAAAAGTGTACTGTAAGCCATTTAGACTGGCCCTCAAACACTAGATTTCTTCCTTTTCACTCATATCTTGATGAACATTCACCTTCCAGAAAAGGGCCCAGTATTCTATTTCAGGTTCAGCTTTAGAGGGAATATGTTTCATCCGAAACCGTAGCTTTGGGAGCCTTTTCCACACACACACACACACTCAATATATTTGGGACAGTTCAAAAGTCCCACTTTAACTGCCCAAAACACAAAAAAACAAAGTGTTTGGGTGGTTCGAAGTCCTACTTTAGAACCACTTTAAACATACAAAAAAACAAAGCATTTGAGTGGTTCGAGTCCAACTTTAGAATAATCATTCTGACACAAAAAAAAAAAAACCTAAGTGCTTGGGGGTTTGGGGTGTCCAACTCTCCAATTGCCGAAGATTGAAAGGCAGACTTTAAACCTCCCAAACACCTAATATTTTTGTGCTTTGGGTAGCTTAAAAGTTGTACTCTCAAACCAAAATGGGAACAAAGTTAAATGCTAAAAAATTTTGGCCTTCATTGTAAACTGTCCCAAAATTTGTTTGAGCCTAAATTTTAGGGATAGTCTTAAAAACACTAGATGAACAACATTAAAAAGTACAATTCTTTTAGCAGATCTAACCCAAGATCTAATGATGAACCAAATAGATAGCTGACATTAATTCGATTTCACTCTGCAAAGAAAATCGCGTTCTAGAGCTTTTTTAAATTTGAAATATTCACTTAGGTAAAGAGGATGTGTGCAAACAAATGGGGTTAACCTATGGATGTTTTCTATAGTGTTAGCCCATGGACGAACCTGATATTTTTCCAGTACACACACACATACATATAAACATATGTAAGCCTTAGTTTTGCTGGTCCTGCCTCATAGTATTACTAAAGAAAATTTTACATCACTGGAATTGATTAGAGGGTCTCAATATGGCATTGACGGCACCAAAAAAAAAAAGGGAAAATATCCCCTTATCCCTTATTTTTAACTTCTATATCCCATGAGACCCAAGAATTGAAAATATTACTTGTAAGCAAAAAGTCTCCATCGTTTCTATCTTACAATCCCTTAAACTCATTTGACCATGTATAATTGACCTCAACAACTTATGAAATGACTCGCTTGCCTCAAAACCTAACTACCTACCTCCTCTCTCTCTAAACTCAGTTTCTCCCTCTCTCTCTCTCTAAACTCCGTCTCTCTCGCCCCTCTCTCTCTCTTCTCTCGCCCCTCTCTCTCTAAAATCAGTCTCTCCCTCTTTCTCTCTAAACTCTGTCCCTCTCGCCTCTCTCTCTCTCTCTGCATTCATGGGCAGTAGGGACAAGCATTCAATAACAGGATTGAAAGTTTTCTCTCTCTGACACACAGAAGGAACAAAACAGCAGGATTGAATTTTTGCTTTTGATCTGCAGAAATTGAACAAAAGAACAAGATCGAAATTTCATTCTCTCTCTCACTACTAATTGAGAAATTGGACATTTCTCGCACACTGTACAAGTAGATCCACTTTCCCTTGTAGATCCTCTGAATTCCTTCAATTTCATTGCCTTGAAAATATGAAGAGAAAGAAAGAGAAAGGAGCAAAAGAGGCCTTCAATTTCATTGCCTTGAAAATATGAAGAGAGAGAAAAAA